ATTAACATATTTATTTATTTTATTTTTTTTTTTTTTTTTTTTTGTAATTTTATTCAAATATAACAAATATATAATTTTTTTTTAGTTTTTCTCTCCTTTTTTTCTTTAGGAATGAAGAATTTAAAAATTAATAATTTTTCAATTTTTAAAACTTTTATGTAAACTAAATTTACATTTGTACTTTTGTTGTTGAATGTATGTTTTTAATATATAATCATTTTATTCACAGGATTCATTTTTTTTTTTTTTTTTGTTTTTAATTTTACTTAAAACATTACATATGATTTCCTATTAAAATTTTTTTTTTCATAATTAATATTTCTTTTTGTATTGATAAATTACGTAACAATATAAAAAAAAAAAAAAAAAAGTTGTATGCAAATATCTTATATATATTAGAATTTATCAATAACATAATTCTTTTTATATTCCTTTAAATGGAAGTTTTTATGAACAAAAATGTGCTATATTTTTTTAATCAATAATTTGCTTTTAAGTTAATTTAATTTGTTTATTATTACTTTTATTATTTTTTTTTTTTTTTTTTTTATATATTCCACGTTTGAAATTTGATTTGTAGATTCATTTAAAATATAAATAAAGTTAAACAAAATGAGAAATAAAACGAATATACAATGTAATTATGTAACACTTTTGGAGAAAAAAATAATGTCCAATAAATTATACAAAGAAGTTGAAAGAAGAAATAGATATGAAGAAATTATTAACAGAAAAAAAAAATAATGTGATTGTTTTATCTAACGAATTATTTTTAAATAAGTATATGAAAATTTCTTATAATTTAAATATATTTTAAAAGCTAATTAAAAGATATTTAGTACTATTAAACATCACACATATGAAAAATTATTTCACTCTTTCTGTAAAAAAAAAAAAAAAATTAAATAAAATATATTACTTAAGAATATTAAAAAATAGTTATCTTTAAAGTAAAACAATTATTAAAGAATGGTAAGAAAAATGTTAAGTCTATTTTCCCTTCTGAATATTTGTTAGAATATATTTAATAACATAAATAAAAGAGGAAGTTTATAAAAAATGTTATGAAGGAATTATTTTTTTTTTTTTTTTTTTTTCTTTTAAGACTATATTTATATGAAAAAAAAAAAAAAAAATACATAAAAGTCTTTGTTTACTATTTTTAAAAATATAATTCGTTTAACTTCTATACTGTCTTAATTGTATTGGACATTATGAAATGAAGATAGATACACATAAAAAAAAAAAAATAAATAAATAAATAAAATAAAATATATAAATGTCATTAGAAAAAAAAAAGAAATTTCTTATACTGATATAAAGTAAATTGTTACTTCTAAATCAAATAGAAATAAAAATCATATATATAGATATAAATTATTAAGTACTCTTTCCAATTAGTTTTCTCCTTTTTTTTTGTCATTTTTTTATTTAATTTTAAAATTCTCTTAAGGATTTTCTTAATTTTTAATAATTTAAAAGTGAAAACTGTTCATACAATAGGTAATTTTTTTTTTTTCTATAATTTTATTTTATTAAAAATTTTGACTTTATTAAAAAAAAATGTCTTTTATTCATATTATATATTAAAAAATTTGAAATTTTTTTTGAAAAATCTTTTGTTTTATTTACATATTTTCTAGTTCTTTTTTCTTAAGGAAAATAATAAAAAAAAAAAAAAATGAAAGCTCCTTCATTCAAGCCAATATATGAAGTTATTAGAATTAAGAAAAAAGATAATGTAGATATAAATACAGATTTATATAAAGAATTTCTAAATGTAAGAAAAATAGATAACATAAATTTAAAAAATAAAGATGTTAAAATAATTATTTATGAGCATACAGAATATGATGAAAAAGAAAAAATAAGTGATGAAGATAGTAATGAGAATAGTTATTCAAGTGATTACGAAAAAAAACAAAAACTTTTTGATTTAGAAGAAAAAAAGAAAGTTGATAAAAAAGTGATAAAGAGTAATGAAAATACAAGAAAGAAAAAAGGGAAAGATAAAGACATATGTATATCAAAAAATGAGCTATCAAACAATACAATATTAAGTGATAATAAAAAAGATGATAATAGTAAAAATAAAATGCAAGAAAGCAAACAAATTAATAATAAATTAGAAAACATTGAAAATAATAATGAAAATTTAAAAAAAACAAAAAATAAATATAATGACGTTGTAAAAGAAAAAAAGAAAATAAATAAATTAGGTACAGTTAAGATATTATACAATTTTTATGTTAATTTATTTGATAAATTAAAAGAAGATGTAGAAAATATAAAAAACAATACGTTTAATAATAATATTGATTTATTTAAAGATATGAATTTATATACAAATTACATATCTCTATTTGATATTATAAATTTATGTGAAGACTTAAAAATTATAAAAAATTTTCTTAATTCTAAAAAAGAATGTGAGTTAATCTGGATTCTAACAGTTAATTATTTTGATAAAGTTAAAGAAAATATTTTTGAAAAATATAAATATAAAATTGATGTATGTTATAAAAAGGATAACTTAGTACTAGTAAGAGATGCTGAATCAAACACAAATACTTTTGTTAAAACAGTAGAAAAAGATGATATAAAGAAAGATATTGAAGATGAAAATTTGAAAATGAAGGATGAAGAAAAAAAAAACAAGAGAACAAAAGGAGAAAATATAGAAAGAAATAAAAATATAAAAATAAAACATAATAAAGAAATATGTAAGGAGAATGAAGAATATAAAGATTATAAAAGTATAAAACGTTATGAAGATGATGAAAATACAAAAGAGAATGAATCTGATAAAAAGAGAGAAGAAAAAGAAGAAGAAAATAATAATAATAAAATTGATAATAATAATAATAAAATTGATAATAATTATGATATTAATAAATTCACAAAAGATAAAAAGAAAGAAAAGGTAAATTATAATAGTAACATAGAAGAAAATAATAACATAAAAGATTATATTTATGAAAAATGTTCTCAGAGAGAAAATGATATTATGTTTAGGAAGGTTAATTTTTTTACTTTTGTGTATATAATAATATATATTATAAAAGTAAGTACAAGAAAAATAAAATCAATAAATGATGACATAAAAAAAGTGAGAAGTTTTTTTTTTTTTTTAAATCTATATGAAAAAAAAAAAACTATTGAAACATTAACAAATATATATAAAGATAAGTATTTGAATTATTATCAAAATTTTAATGGAATAAAAGAAATAGAAGAACATAGAAAAAGGAAAATATTTTGCCATAAATTTTCTTTTTATAATATCAATAAAATTCTAAATAAAAGAGAAGATTTAATACTTCTTAAAAATAAATTCAATCAAAATGATAACTCTTATATTTCAATAAAAGATGAAAGTAAAAATGTTAATGAAAATGATACATTAAATCTTGATAATACTTTGAATGAAAAAACTAATAAATTTGAAAATAGTGAAGAGAATAAAAAAGAAGATTTATGCAACTATGAATTGACTAATTACATGGAAACATCTGAATTGAAAACTGATTCTAATTTAACAAATAAGACAGATGATCAAGATAAAAAAGAAAATATTCTTTTAAATCAACATATATTTGATTATATTTTTAAAAATTATTGTTATAAAAAAAACTATTGGAAGTTAAAAGAGGGTAATTATATTGATTTTGGTCAGATAAAAGACAAAAATAAAAAATTTAAAATAGATATTTATAATTATAGTAAATATAACCTAAATGTTGATATTGAAATTGAAAATGAATTACCATTATTAGCTATTTTTAAGGATAAACTATTTTGTGTAAATTCAAAATACACTATATATTTACATATAGATAAAACTCAAGTTGGAGAAAAGTTAGGTTTTATTAATGTTAAGTTTAAATATAAAAATATAAATAAAGAAGAAACTATTATAAAAATTCCAGTTTATATTTACATAGAGAAATAATATTATAAATATATATATATATATTTTTCTTTTCTTTTTCTAATTTTTTTTGTTAATTTTTATAGAAAAATTCCTATAATTATTTTTAAAATAATATCCTTTATGTTTACATATATATAGATGTAGATAATTTTATTTTATTAATCTATTCACATATATATATATATATATATATATATATATATATATATTTTTTGCATATCGTAAATGTTCTATTATAAAATTATTTTATTACATATTAATACTATATTTTATTTCATTTAATTTTATTATATTCTCGTAATATTTTATCATATTTAATTCTATCATTTTATTTTTTTTCTTTTAATGCACACATAAAAATTAAAAACTTCATAGTGCAAAAATATAACATCATTTAAAAAAAAAAAAAAATGTATGAAATAAAAGAAAAAATAAGAATATAAAATAAAAAACAGTACATTAGACAATTCTAAAATAAATTCATGATGTTAAATAAAAAAAAGGTTTTTATATATATATATATATTTTAATTTATATATATTTGTAAAAATAAAAGATAAATTAAAATATATAAAAGTAGAAATAAAAATAACTAAAAAAATAGTAAAACACATATTTAAATAGTTAAAAGAATATTAAGAAAAAATAAAATAAATGATATAAAAAAAAAAATAAAATAATAAAAATAATAATAAAATAATAATTAAAGAAGAAAGTAAATATATTTAGAAATAATAGTAAAGAAAAATTTTTAATAAAGATATAATGAATGAAGAAATAGAAAATAAATTTGATCTTATAGATGTAGAACCCAAATTTCTTGAATTTTTTTATGATTCTATAGAAGAAATTGATGAATTTCTAAAAAATAAAGAAAATAATCAAGTACAAAAAAAAAGTTTGAAAATAAAAAACATTTGTACGAAAACTCAAAACATAAAAATATTCGAATCAGAATCAAGATTTCTAAAAATTAAAGGATTAAAAAAAAAAAAATTGGCTCCAGGAACGAGTGAAAAAATATTAGTAGAATTTTCTTTTTATAATTTAGAATTAGGAGAATATAAAAATGATAAAAAAAAAAATTTATTAAGTATACTAAACAATATAGAATGTTCAGTTTTCTTAAAAATACAAAGTGAATATTCTACTTTAAATATACCTATTTATATTAAAAAAAAAGTTCCTCTTTTTGTTTATGATAATATTGTAAATTTTGGTACGTGTAGAAATAATTTAACATATTCTTTTTCTTTAAAAATAAAAAATGTTGGTACAAAAAAGGGGACGTTTACTATATCTGATAATGATACGTTAAAAAATAAGAATAAGAATAAGAATAAGATGAAAGACAAAAATATAAATGTTCGATTTAATAATAACTTAAAAAAAAATGTAAAAGAAGAAAGCGATAAAGAAGAAAAAATAAAAGATATAAATAACAATTTATTAATTGAATTTGATAAAAAGTCTCTTGATATAAATATAAATGAAAGTCAAACAGTAAATATTAAAATACAAAATAGAAATGAAGAAAAAATTCATTGTGAATATAAAGTCTTAGTAGGAGAATATAGTTATTTTACAAAAAAACCTAAAAATATTATCATAATGGCTATTTTTGTTAATAGTCAAACATCTTTTCTTTTTGAAAATATTATAACTAATCAAATAAATTTGAATTATTTATATTATGGAAGCAAAATAAAATTTGCAGGAAAAATAAAAAATGAAAATAATTTCTCTATATTATGTAAATATCAACTAAATAAAATTAATATATTTTATTCTATGAATAGTATTCAGAAATACACCCTTGATAATAATTTAGATGTTAATCAATTAAAACATGGTTATTAAAAAAAAAAAAAAAAAAAAAAAAATATACACATATATATATATAAACTTATATAACAAATAATAATTAAAAATTTTTTTTTTTTTTCATCTTTATGGAAAATTATTAATGTATAAATATTAAATAAAAAATCTTTTCATTTTCTCATTTATCCATATGTATATATCTAATAATTTTTTTTTTTTAATACTCTTTTTATTATTTTATTTTTCTTTTCTCTTAATAAATTATATTTTATTTTACTTTATTTTTAGATGTTTTTAATAATTTAAATAATGAATTAAATGAAGAAGAAAGAAAAGAAAAAGAAAAATTATATGCTATTTCAAAAAAATACTTAAAAATAGATGAAAATATAAATATTAAGTTAAATGAAGAAAATGGATATTTAGTTAAAAAATTAAGTTATAGTGATATTCTATTTGAAATTCAATCAAAATATGATATTGAATTTTTAGAAAAAATAAATAGGAATACATCTTATTTATTAAACATTCCTATAATTATAGAATTAACCTTGTACATTAATAGTATAGATAATGAAGAAGAAAAAAAAGGAAAATATAAAAATAATACTAATATAATAAAACAAGAAAATAAAGAAGAAAGTAAAGAAGAAATAAAATTATTTGTAATTTTTTGTCTTACTTTTCCATCCTTACTATCCAATAATTATTTCATAAATTATGAAAGGGTATCAATTAATGAAGGAAAAACTATAATAATAGAATTAACTAATAAAAATAAATTTTTAAAAATTAATTATTGCTTTTCAAAAATACCTTTTATAACTTTAAATAAAAGAGAAGGAATCATAAATCCTCTAAGCAAAGATATTATTACGCTTAAATTAAAATGTGATACCATTAAAAATATTAATGAATATCTTTATGTATTCTTTTGTAATAATTTATATTTTTTTGTTTTATTAATAAATGCTGAAGTTAAAACAGGGTATCCATTAAATAAAGAGTTAAATGTTCTAAAAACAAAACAAAGAAAAAGCTTAAACGACAAATTTATTGATATTCAAATATCTCATACAAATAAAAATGATGAAATATATGAACAAATCATAAATAATTTATCTTTAGAAAAAGTTGACAGAAATTTATATATGATTGATGGGAAGCTAAACAAATATAATTATAATGAAAATTTTATGAATTATTTGAAAAATAATAAAAAAAAATATAATGATATACTAAAATATATGTATGAAAAACGAAAAAAAAAAGAAATAGTAAATAGTAATAATAAAATAAATGATGAAAATAAATTAAAAGATAGAATTAATAAAGTAATAAAAGATATAAACATATATGTTAATGATACAGAATTAACTAAAATAAGTAATACGTGCATTCAACAGAAAATATATGAAGAGAGAAGAAAAAAATATTTTGATTTAAAAAAGCAAAATATAAAAATGTGCAAAAATGAAAGTATAGATGAAACGAATTTGTTCATTGGACAGAATTTAGAAGAAAATCAATTGAATAATATTACATTTCCTAAAATTATTGAATTTAATAATGTTTTGTTAAATAATCAATATATACAACATTTTTATGTGTGTAATAATAATAATGATTGCAATATAAAAGTAAAGTTCACTCACAGTGATAATATAGTTATTGACGATAATTTAGTAGTCATAAAAAGCAACTCAAAAAAAAAACTAAATATAAAATTTAATTTAAAATCCTTATTAAAAATAAAAAAATATGATCAGCTACCAAATAATTCTTTTTATAATATTCCTAATGATATTTTTAATGAAAATTCAGGCGAAATTTTTGATCAAAATTCGAATTGTATTTTAAAAGAAAAAATGAATGATATTTTTAGTGAGAAGTTGAATAACTTTTTTGGTGAACAATCAAATGATATTTTTGATCAACATATATATAGAGAGAATGTGTTGTTAAAAATTAATAATTATGATGAAAAAATAATGATAAGCGCAAATTTAATATTATTAAATGTTTTCATAAAAGTTAATATTTTACACTTTTATTTTGAAAATATTAATACTGAAATGGTCTGTGAGAATAAAATAATTGTGTATAATCCTTTTGATATACTTATTAATATAAAAACCAAATACAATAAACAATTTTTTGAAATGGATAATAACATTCTTGTAATATATAACTAAAAAAAAAAAAAAAAAAAAAAAAAAAAAAAAAAAA